AGGGAAAGTTTTCTTGTTAATCACTCAGGTGGCTAGGGGGCACCTCTGTCAAGGTCATAAACAGGCACTCTAAACTGGAATGCCATCAAGCTCAGTCCTAAATGCCAAGGTCAGCTGTCTGCCCAGGCAGTCTAAAAGTGTCCCCACAAAGCCTTCCCCAGTAGGAATGAACTCCTCCACTTCAGTTTCCTCAGATATGAAGTGGACCTGTAAAGTCAGGTGAGCCTTGATGACTGATTGCAAGGATGGTTTATAACAGCAATACTCATCTGTGAATGCTTACCCTGTGCAAAATCCTTTTTTAAAAAAAAATATTTTTATTTTATGTGTAGCGTATTGCCTGCATGTACGTAAGTGCACCCATGTTGTGCAATGCCTGCGGAGGTCAGAAGAGGCCACTGGATTCCCTGGAACTGGAGTTACAGACAATTGTTAGCTGCCATGTGGGTGTTGGGATTCGAACCCAGGTCTTCTGCAAGAACAACCAGTGTTCTTAACCACTGAGTCATCTCTCCAGCCCCACAAAACGTTTTTTAAAAGGAATTAAAACGCTTTTTTTTTTAAAGTTTTGTCTTGTTTTCTATTTAGAAAATTATACGTACAGGTGTGTATCTGTGTGTAGGTATGTGTAGGTATGTGCATGTGAGTACAGGTGCCTGTAGAGTCCAGAAAAGGATGTTAGATCTGGAGCTGCAGTTAAAGGCAGTTGTGAGCCTTCTGACATGAGTGTTGGGAACCAAACTCGGGTCTTCTGCAAGAGCAGTACATGGCTCTTAACCACTGAGTCATCTCTCCGGCCCTCCTGTACATGCTTTATCTGTATGAACTTGTCATTCCACACAACCCCACAAAGTAGGTATTACTAATCCCCGTCTTCCAACCAGAGAAACCAAAGACAGGTGAAGTGACTTACCCAAGCCACACAGCTAAGTGTAAGCTTTGTAAATGACAGAGGACAAGCAGGTGCTTTTCCTTTAGCCTACCCTAAAAGCATGATTCTACAGTCCTCACTTTAATTCCCCAACCCTAACCAGGTTGACAGGGAAAATGGCAGCAAACACAGCTGTCTCAAGAAAAAGGGGCCTCTAGGAGGGGATGGGCAATCAGCCTAGACCCCAGCTCCTCTAGGATATCTTCTTGGCTTGAAGCTGCCTGGTCTGGCTTTTCTTGGGATTCACTGTAGGCCTCTTTTAAGGACCAGGCTGTGGCCAAGAGACTTCAGGTACTGCTGCCTTATACCTCCCTAGAGGGTGTCTGAGTCCAGAATACCAGGCTCCATTTGGACACATATTCTGAGACCTTGGTACTTTTCCTTCTTAAGCCTTAGTGGAGTTCCTTTATCTGGGAAAGGTGTGATGATTGTGCCCTGATTTGGGAAATAAAAGGACTTTGGGGGCTGGGCAGAGGTACAGCTACAGCTTCTGTGGTTACTACTGAGAAAGAAAGTTCCAAGGGACGTTAATAACCTGGGTTAGACTCCAGCCCTGGAATCTGAATCCCCTTAGCAGGCCTCCCATCAACTAAGTATTCTACCCTCTATTTTGCCCATGAGGGGGCATCTCCCCAATGGGCCTTGGGAGTTACAAAAGACAAGCATGCTCTTGCTTCTGTGAGGAAAGGGCTCTGAACCGGAGCTGCCTTAAGACACCCATCTTCCTGCAGTTAGAGGTGCTGTGGGGTGGGCGGAAGTGAGGCTCTACCCTACCAGAAGGTATTTCCTCTGTGGGTTGGGGCTTTCCCTTGGTTGTCATCTTTTCAGGGACAGGGGTCCCTAAGGCCCGGAGCTGTGAAGAGGAATGTCATCAGGCCACAGTGGTCCCCAGGTTAGCTGGCGGGCATAAATGCAGCAGGAGGTGACCTGCTTTGACTAGAGCATTGGTTATAGGAAGGGGTGTTGGCAGCATGTGAAGGAGGAAGCTGCTGAAGGGGGATCCCACTTTTACTAGTTCCACTGGGGCCCAGCCACCTGCCTTTTCTTCCTAGGGAAGGGAAGAGTCAGGGGCAGCCCCTCCCTTAACTGAGACCATAGTCCCCTCTCAGCTTGCTCTAGGCCCTCAGTGCTCCCAGCTCCAGGGCCTGTAACACCCTTGTTGTGACCCCTTATCTTCCAAGCTTCTGTGACCCCCTCTTTTCCTAATGTTCCTCTCTCATGGCTGCCCATGCCTCTGTGTCCCAGATGGGTGTCTCTAGGTGGTGTCTTAACACAACAACCCCCCTCACACTACCTCTCTGCCCAGTAACCTTCAGGCCCTACCACAGCTTCCTGTCTGAGGATGTCAGGGCGAAGATGAGACTGCTGGAGCAGTGGGTGCTTTCACCCCACCCCCTCTTCCACCTCTGAGGACAGAGCACTCTGGAGAGGGCTATGGTGTCTGTAACCACTTCCGCAGGATGGAGACAGGTGGCCTGATGGGCCTTGCACGTGGGCCCCCACAGACAGGGACCTAAGACTGCCTGAGGCCATCAGTCCATTCTGGGTGTGGAAAAAAATTCAGCTTTTTGGGGTCACCCTGTTCTGATTGACTGGAAAGATATTCCTCTCCCTGCTGGGTCTAGCTCATCAGGTTCTAGAACTTTCTACGGCATTTACTAGACTTGTCTCTAGCTCAGCCATTGTTCTCCCTTAGTCTCCACTTTTCTCTAGTCTAGATGATTACTAGCCATTATTTTCTCCCACTTTGTCCCCAGATCCATCCATAGGTAAAGCTGACTCATCTTGCCACACTCATTTCTACAGCTCCTTCTATGACAAGGGCTATGCCACATATAAGAGGAATGACCCAGTCTCACTACCACACTGCTCACTGGTCAGGGAATTTCCTCCCATCACTAAGGCTTCTCAGGTCACAGTGGACTTCCTTGAGGGGCAGCTCAATTCCTCCCTTCCGAGATCCTTCCTTGATCTGCTGTGTTGACCATAAGGTCGCTTGTGGCCCCCTGGGACTCACTGAAGGCCTCAAACCCAAGCCCTGCTTTTCTGCTGCCTGGAAGAGTCCTGTTGGGAAAGACGGCTGTGGCCCCTACAGCAGGAGCTGGGGCCATCACACAGTTCTGTGGGCCCTGGATCCAGTGGGCAACCACTGTCTACCACTCTACCAATGGGCAGGGGCCTGGGCCTCTAACAAGAGCCATGTGTGGTGGTGCTGTCTGTAATCTTAGCACTCAGGAGGCTGAGGCACAAAGGTGGAAGATGGGAAGGTAGCATAAGATTCGTAACATGTTGGAGGCCAGCCAGAGGAACACAGTCACAGTGAGACCCTCTCAAAAAAACAAACTAAATAAACTCTCATTGAAGGCTGAGGATGTAGCTCAGTGGTAGAGCTTCGCATGCACAAGGGCCTGGGTTTCAGCCCTAGCATAGTAAAAACAACAACAACAAAGTCACAGTAATAGTATGTACTGAGTGGCCTGAGAGCCTGTCACTTTGCTGAGTGCTGTGTATATACAGCTGATTTAATCTTATGACTATTTTAGCTCTGCTGACAGATGAGGGAAGTGAGGCTCAGATTCCCCTAATGATATACAACCTGTAGGATTAAGTCAGAGTTTGATTCCAAAGCAGGTGGCAGGAAGTTGTGGATAAGATCAGCACGTCACACTGATCACAAGCTTCTGATGACAGCCACTAGGATCTCCCTCCATCCCTTCAAGCCTCCTGGAACAAAACTTTTCTACCCAGTAACAGCTTTCTGAACCTTCATACAATTGATTCTGACATGTCCTTTGATCATCTTTCTCAGAATGGCCGAAAGTGGTCTCTGCTTTGGTTTGCCTGGTGGGGGGGAGACTGTCCTGAACAGGGTATTCTGGGATGTGACAGGAAAGGTTGAGGGCAGAGGAAGGAAAAAACAGGTTCTCTGGCCTCTCCTGGAGCTTTGGGTTGCTATACAACACCTCTACTCCACCAGCATTCTGCTGAAGTGGGGTCAGTGGTCCTGCCCCTCCCTGGCTCCTGGATAAGCAGCATGTGAAAATAAGTTTCTCAGACAAACTTTTACTGCTCTGTGGGCCACTCATCAGGAATTCTTGTCTCACATATCTGGGGCTGGAAGAGTGGATTGGCAGGAAGTCTCAGTGTGCCACTCAGAGGGGTGGGGAGTTCCTCCAGCAAAGCCTGCTCATGACAGGAATAAAGGTGCAGTCTGAAAGGGGGGCAGCCCCCTTCTGATTTTTTCCAGTGGGGATGTCTAGATTTGGGTTCCATCTAAGGTCAGAGACTTTACTTCACACAAGGATGGTCTGGCAGGGAATAGACACTTGGTGATATGGTTCCACCCCAGTTACTAAACACTGAGTCACAGAGCTAGGTGAGGTGTCACCTGGTCACCCCAACCTTTTTCCCCCAATGTTGATGACTATCAGTCTTCATGGACTGTTCCACCACTGGCATAATTAGTGCAGGTCCCCTCTGTAAGGCACTGCTAACAGCAGACAGAACCTTATTTTGAGCCTGTTTCCCAAGGCTCAAACTCTTCCCCAGTTCCTTTTCTAAAGTTGTGTCTTTTCTTCCAGAACCCACTGTAGCTCTAGGATTCCAGAAGCCAGGGACACAGGAAACAGCTCACAGGACCTTGGGGCCCCTCCACACAGAACTGCCCGCCACAGAATCCTAGAGGCACACCTCTGATCTAAAGCTCACTATATGAAAAACCATAGGACTCAGAAACACAGCCCACCAGAATTTTAGCCCCAGGGGACTCAATTCAGTGACCATGGCATGTAACGAAATTCTGTGACTGATTACAGGAGGCTGAAGTGCAGCCCACGTTTTCTAGAACCACAGGAGAGGAACAAGCCTGGGGAACAGCACACAGTACCGGGAGGTGGGGGTGGATCGAGTGCCCTCAACCAATCACCTCCACTTACAGCTGAGAAGGCTGAGGACCTTGGGGCTTCCAGGGCCTCCCAGCTAGCCAGCGCCCTGCAGGGCTTCGTGACATGATGGGGATGTCCCAGCGTGGGGAAACCCGTGGGGACCTTCTAGGCTCTGGCACACTCACCAGCAGTGTCGTAGAGGTTCAGGGTCACCTCCTTGGTGCCCACCGTCACACTAGCCGTGTACTTCTCAAACACTGACGGGGCATAGTGCTGTGAGAGAGGAGGCCAAGTTGATCTTTTAAGGGGTGGTGGATGCTGAGAGCCCGACGGATTCCGCCCCCGCAACTACCGTCCTCACCCATCCAGCTCAGACCCGGCAAATCACTAGGCTCTGGAATTCGGGAGGGGGTGCCCCCCCCACCCCCGCCAGGGGATGGCTGCCTCTCCACGCTGAGGACGTTGGGGTCATCAGGGTCCTGGCTGGTCCCGGCTTTCCGACATCCCTTGCTCCCAGTGGTCGCAAGCCCATCCTCACCCCTCTGGCCACCTAGGGGGCCTCACCTCCGGAAAGGAGCCCTGGCAATACACCATAAGCAGCGACGTCTTGCCGCAGCCGCCGTCACCCACGATCACGATCTTCAGTTCCTTCTTCCCAGAACCAGGGGTAGCGGCTGAGGCCCGAGCCCGGGGGTCGTCCATAGCCGGCAGCACTAGAGGCTATGCGCTGGGAGTCAGGCAGAGAGACCTGGAGGGGGCGGGGCCGCGGGGCTGAGCTAGCAAGGCCACGCCCCCAAGCAGGCAGCTCCCCCC